ATTTTTGAAAAATGTTACAGGATAATTTACAATATTATTTTTTGTAATTTTTTAATATCATCTAGTAGTACAGTGTAATACATTTTTATAGTACATTATACGTAAGCACCACGTCATGTATCCCACCACGACAYGAATGAATATTGTTGATTTATTATTAATAATAATATGTATATTATAATACGTGTATGACAGAAGAACTAAAATGTAAATCTATTTTGAATATTTCTATGTGGAAATTCGACACCGTGCTGTCAAAATTATTCTTAAAATATCAAAAAAAGCACCACTGACGTACAATTAGACATCACGATATAGTAATTAAACGTGTTCAGTAAAATCAATGCCACAGCCGACAGGTTTATACGTCACGGCGTATAATTTTTCAGAAATCCACGAAAAACGTTTTGTGATCATTTTTCAGACTACTGGTGCACATACGTCGTTCCGTCGCTAAGCCCCGGTGCACGCGATAATAATATTTCTCGACGTTGGAATATTCCGAACACAGACTATAATAATATAAAGACGATAAATTAATGGGTAGATATATGACGCGATGGAGCTACGTTTTTCGTGATTGGATTCTAAGATGTCAGAGGTGAGTTATCATCACACGTCACGGTAGCTTATAATAATACTATATTATGCAATAGTCGGATCGATGTTTATTTCCCTCGCTTTATTTTTGGTTCCCAAACATAAGTTTAGAACACCTTATATCCGTCCGTCCACTAAGGTTAATTTATAGTCACGATTAATGATATTCATTTTTAAATTTTATTCTTTTAAATTCATAGTATTTATAATTCAGAACCAAAAAAAAAATAAACACAAATTAAATAATATATTAACTATCTAAAATAGGTAGAGTATTAAATTGTATATTGAATTATAGTTTATTGCGCATCATTTCGTAATAATTTAGAAATCGCGAGTTTTTTACGATCGCAGTGTGAACTTTCCTTAAGTATTTTTTTTTTTTTTAGTATAATATCATATTAGACACATTATGCGTGTAAAATATAATAATGTGTACCAATGATTTTATCATTATCCACGGTTGTAGCACAGAATAACCAAAAGGATCACTTTTCTAATATGAAGGGGATAGATTTGCTTTACATGTCGGTGTAGCCTATAAATAAACTATAAAGATAATAATCAATGGTACAACTTACTGATACAGTAGAATATCTTTTATTTATAAAAATAAAATATTTATGACATTTGCTTACAATGATAGCWTCWAAAGTGTGTAGAATCAGTTTCAGCAGCATAATATATAATTTTTAATCGTATTCGAATTCTGGCTAGACTGATTATATATCGAAAATGTTTTATCGATTTTCAACTTTTGGTTATTCTTTATTTTCTTTATTTGTAATAAGGTTTGTCGAGCGAGTTGGTTATTTTGTGATTGACGTTGCTGATGTTGTTGTTGTTGTTGTTGTTGTTGCAGGCCGATACGTATCCAACCTGAACGGAAACTGCATGCGGTGCCTGTGTTACGCGTCCACTCTTTGCAACGTATCAGTCGGGTGCTCACGTGGTTACTGCGGTCCTTACTACTTGTACCGCGATTACTGGAAGGAYGCGGGTCAGTTGGTGATACCAGACGACGACCCGGACCGGGACCAGGCATTCGTAGACTGTGCTTCGAACTTGGAATGCGCACAAAAGGTCGTYGAAAACTACATGGTCAAATGGGGACGGGTAAGTGCCGGCCATATAATATATCTGTAAATATAAATGCTCGATAGCTGATTGAGTGAGTGAGTGTGTGTATRTGTGTGGGTGAGAGAAAGTGACGTACAGGGGCTGATGTTTTTTGGAAAAAGATAACATGTATATATTAGGTCAAGTCATATTATTCACAAGTATTGAACATTAATTTCTAACAATGTTGGCCACATTGAAACCTATATCAGGATCTATAGGWAGCCCAGTCCATGGAATTATATGATGTCGACTACGTGTAATTTACCTAATAGGTAATAACATGCAATAATAAAGTTGCAGTTACGTAAGTAGTGTAGTTGGCTGACGAGGGTWGCAACCCATTCCGAAATCGAAAGACATATTTTTTAAATACTTCCAGTGTGCTGTGAACCTCGTAAGACATTACGATACCTAAAGTAGATTGTAATTTGTACAAAGTTACTGCATAAGTATAAAACGTTAATTACTCACGCGGAAATCAACATACCAAACTCGTGAGGGATTCCCTATTTGAGGCTCCTCCAACTAACGATTCGCAGCTAAGTAATAATATTATTCGGGTGTTTAAGCAACGTTGGAGATCTGGAAGGTGGCGCAAGTTGCAGCCGTTATTACACATCGTTGACCGTTGTACAATTATAAATTAGCCTCCCAACCACTTGCACGGGAACGACATCACCGGTGTTTGCTGTTTAGGGTGACTGAAGGGGGGGGGGGTTAAACTTTGCTGGCAATGTCCTTAGGAAACGCGTCGTCCGGTTGTTGGCAGAAACTCCGCCGTTAATCACTGCGATAACGATTTCATTATTATTATTAGGTATTATAATATTATTGGCTGCGGTAGGGGTTGTGATGACGGTTGTGCTAATAATAAAACATTCGTATACCCCCKTCGGGTTGGAAATGATCGAAAACGTTAAAACACGCTCCACATCGTATAAATAGATAATAAACGTCACATGAAACACACTCCGTCACGCATATATGAGTATAACTCGAGTGCTACAACAACAATACAATTTATAATATTCATAATAATATATTATTATGCAGCGTCAACGATTTAATTGTCTCTCGGGGAAACTATATTATTATATTATTCTCGCGACTTCAGCGCGTTAAAACAAGAATCTGGTTATTGGTATTCAAACATAGTTTCGCGAATAGTACAACGCTTCGATATAAAATAGTGAGTTAGGGACCCATTTTTTGAKCCTAGTATTTTTTAAACAAGGATTACATATCCACCCACCCACCAGTAATTACCTCATATATAAAATAATATACAATACTTATACTGCCATAACTAAAGCAGTAAAGCGCGAAGTTATATGGGATTGTATGTATTTTTTTGAATTTCAATAGTTTCAAATTCTGCAGTCCACGATTTTTTCTTACGCTTTATCAAAATTCAATATTTATTGTATGATATTGAAAGTGAAGTTCAGATTTAAAAAAATCTATAATTAAGAATGAAAAATATTATTTTCTTGAGTAAAAAATTATAATAATATTAAATGTTGCTGACTACTACAAACATATCATTTTTTAATAAGCTATTTATATAATAACAACTTTATCGCTTTAGTGAACTTCCTTGTTCGTAATATTTCCAAACAATTCTACAAACAAAATTATTTATTTCGAATTTACTATCTAATAATATTAAGCTGTGTTTATTACAAGAATATTTTCTTTGTTTATAGCACACAATACACATGTAATTAAACATGCTCTAAAATAAATTGCAAACCTACCTATCTACCTACGTATATTATAACAATATATTATATATAGTACTCGGATGAATTCAATCAGTTTTAAAATATTGTAGAATTGGCAACATTCTGTTACGATATTATTTAATATTAATACCTACCACGTCGGTATGATTTTGGTATATATGTTTATTGTTTACTCAACAAAAATATAAAGTAAAGTTTCAAGTGCTTTTGCATTTGAATTGTATCATAAATACTTTTTGAAAGTGTTTTTTTTTTCAACATTCCATACAAGTTTAGGTACACAATACACGATCGATGAGCGGGGATCGGTGTCCTTGATGTGCTGCAGGTTTTGTTGTACACCGCACGCCAGCAAGAATATTATAATATAAACATTAGTCATTAAATCGCGATACTAAAATCCGATATTACATATAATTATTATTAATGAGTGTGCGTGTTGATATATTATACATTTATACTATTATGGTATAGGTATACGGCAATAGGTTTTAAACGAAACGTATAAATTATTCACGTGCGATATTAGATAGGTACCTGATTAGTCGATACGAATATCATTTTATTATTATTGAGATCMTGGAATTAAATGCAGTGATACCCGCGTGTAGCCTTTTTTGATTTTATCCGTTCAACATCGTTTTGYTCATTATTGTATTAACCCAATAGGCAATAATCAATAAACACTAAATAAACTAGTAGGTAAAGMGTTATTAGAAGTGATTCATTCGATTTCAAATGTCCGTTTACTTTTAACTGTCAGGTTTAGAGTAATTTAGTACGTCATGATACATAAAATAATAATATTTCAAATTTAATTAATGACACTTATTAAATATTATTATGTTCTGCGTGGCTCTATAGTCGGAACTAAAATTTATTCCATGTATGATATCTGTTGTAATTGACTTTGAAGTTGTTTTACCTATTTTTTCGTGGTCATTAATGATGATATGCTAGTACGTATACGGTATCTTAAACATATTAATATATTCCCCAAAAAAAGTAAAATCACATGGCGTGAGATCAGTTTTCCCCTGTGAAGCCATCATGCGCAGAGCATATATGATTATTAATTTTTAATAACCGTATACAGTATACCATATATTAATATATTATATGCGTGCTGCGCATGCGTACATTAACCGACAAATATCCGACTACTAAAATTATATTTTGGGCAAATATTTCGAATATTACTAAAGAATTGTCCAATCGCTAAGAGAAGTCTGTTGTTTTTGATTAGTTTTGGCATAGTTATACGTTGAAAACGGCGTGCGTATAATATAATATCGTGAGCTGTATGATACAGTTGTTATATTATTTTAACGATAACTTGACAAACATTTTGATACGATTTCGTACCATAATATTAAACTAATGAAATAGGTAATGATAATAATATACAGTATAATCACTGATATCGACCGCATTTATGTTGCATAAGTAGGTAGATTAATTATTACGATACAAAACTGACGGACGAGTTTGTTTTTACCTATCGCGRCATCATCATAATAATATTATACAATACGCATTTAAMTATTTTCTCGGAAAATTATTATGATATTACTGCATAGTACTTATTATATTAATTAATGATAATATTATGCTTAAATAACGTCTCTTCACACTATTACACAATAATATATGATGAAGGTATACACGCGCAAGTGGCGAATGCAGGTTGATGAGCGCATTATAAGGGATTAAAAAAATGTTTAATTTATCTACAAATGAAATAAAAATTTTTCGCCTTTTAAAACTATATGTGTCGCACTCGGATATTATTATTCAAGTCGAAACGGTTTTGTATCATGTGACGTTGGCGATGCAATGCCACGCATATAATGCCTCACATTGAACGCGTGTGAATAATTCAAAACAAGTTTTATTAATCTATGTTTTTTTATAAAAACATTGCCGAGCACGATTAATAACGGTAAAAAAACAGCACTACTACACGAGTCGTCGATAAACCCTCGACTCACTGGAGTATAAAGTATAATATATAGGTAGTTTAATAGCGAATGACACAGAGGTATATATGTATACCCGACAAAATTTTGTCCGCTATAATATTATACTCTCTACTTGTCAAAACCTTATATATTTATTAATAATTTATCATAATACATTACAGGTAGGCTCGAAAACTCCATTTTTATACATTGAAATTCTCAAAATATTATTTTGTTTCGACATTAAATATATATATAATGATTTCGTTATGAAGTTAAAAAAAAAACAATACAATTAACAATAAAAAATAGTGAAAATACATATTTTTCAAAAACTTTTTTTGTCATAACTCAAAAACATTGCAGATACTTTTCAAAAATATGAGTATATTGATCTACAAAAGAATCACCTATTTGTAATATATTATTATAACAGAAACCAAATACACTCATAAATTCATAATGGATTATATACCTACCGATATTTGTTGGCTTTATTTTTCACAAGCGCTAAATGCTTATATAATAGTATAAACTATACCCATTAAGTGTCCAAAATTGCGATCGAAACAGTGAGGCGATAAATATTATAAAAATGGATTTTAATTATTCATCGTTAACTGTTAAGTGTAAACTACATCGATTAGGTCACTTTTTTCAGTTTAATTTAATTTAATTTTCAAACAAATTTTTAGTAACTGGAGAGTGCAATTTAAAAAAGTAGCCTGATTAAACTTATGCACACTTTGCGCTAAATTCAAATTAATATAATAATATATAGATATTTATTTCTTTCATCTCTACACTGATGAATGCAAAATTAATGGTTTTTATGCCGTGTTGAACCCGTTAGGAACTACAGAGGTTAGCACTATCGGTTTTTTCTTTAAAAGAATATTAAATATTTCATTTTTTTTTTCATCGCAAGGTGTAAGTGATTTTACCTGCTGCGTCTTACAGAAAAGTCGAATTACACATTTACCGAAATTGAATGGTCATACTGAACTTGGGTTATTAGCAGGCAACAGCCGAAATGCACTAGGGTTCCAAAAAAGGTGTTGAACAAAACTGTTCAAAAAAAAGTTAATTTATGTGTTAGTAAAACACTAACTTCCTTTAAAATGCAATCATTAGCATACTAATTTTTTTTTTAATTTTTTAAATTTTACTTATACTATAATGCATATTATAAGTATAGTATATTATTTAATGAAATTATTTTGAAAAAAAATATTACAAATTTACATCAAAATTTGTATATCATATTAACATATAATTTAAATCGTTGTCAGTCTTAAGCCTGTAAGCGGAGATGAGTTGAATCTTTTTGAACTTGAGTGCAGTTTGATCATGACCATGCTTTTTACTCGAGTTCAGTTCATCCATTACCTTTTTTTTTTCAACTCAAGTGTGATTCTAATTTACTCGTCTTTTGCAATAACAACTTAATCATTTATCCTATTACCTATATGTTACCTATGGGTGTTGGGCTAATGATGGCAACTCTTAAATTCGATACTAATCCACCCCCTCCCCCCACCCCATTCAGCATTTATTTTTTGCATGCAAACATTTTGATATCGTTGTAATATAATTAAAGATCGTTGACGTCACGTATACACAGTGATATATACAGATCTGTACCGCTAAATTCTAATACTGAGTCACAGTTTAAAATAAATTAATTTAATGGCTCATTAAAATTTAATCAATTAATTATGGGTGACTGAATTATTGTTAAGAAACCATTAGCAGATTAGCTGACGATTGATTCATTGAATATTTAGTGATTGTCAGTCTGCAACCCAAAATTTGTTWCATAATAAATTATAATATCATACACATATAAAGACGAGCAAACCATTGCGCATGAGCGGCATTTCGGTTGACGTCACGAGGGCGAAGTCACAGTTTAAATATATTTAATATAGTCAGCACAGAATAGATTAAATAGGTATGTGTAGTAGGTATCTATTTTATTGGATTTGCTGAAAACGTAATAACGACCATAATATYTTTGTCGTGGTACCCGGTTATTATATTCCGGCATCGCAAATATTATTATAACATCAGCCGTATTATTAAATCTGTTTGATGATGATAATGATAATAATAATATTATAATAAATTATATACATTGCAGAATGAGACGACCAATAATTTGAAAATGTCATCGGGACAGCCGAAGTCCGAGGTGCTTTTACGTCTCTACGCGTATATTATTATTACCTATACATTTATTCTTATTGAGGAAAACGTGACTTAGAGAAGATTGGTTTCCGGAACTCAATTTTGAATCGGATATCACGAAATTGATCGTTTCTCAGTCGATTCGGACGGTCAAATACTTAGGGATAACGTTATTATATTATACACGGGAGTTTACCAACTGCGCTTAAAATGAGCTTTTCATATAGTTTCTCAATATTGTGCTCGGTTATTTTCAGAGTTGATCGCCCAATTATGATAGATAATAGCAATTTGTTATTTAAATTTAAAATAATGTTAAAAAGTAGAGCTTTAGTTGGGTATTTTAATAAAAAAAAATAATAATAAGAAACAACACAGTTATAATACTAGCATTTAGGTATTGACGTATAGTAAATATATAATATAAATAAATGACAATTGTACATAATAATATAAAAGTATCAATAATTTTTAGTCCATACCATCGTCGTGTCACCTTATATTATTAAGTAATCATGTATGTCACCGGTTATAATGACGTTTCGTATAAGTCTTGAGGTATAGGTATAGAATATTGGCTCCAAATCAATTAGGCATGCGTATTAATATTTAAAAATATTTAATTATTTTTTTTTTTAAATAAAAAATATTTAATCAGTCATTCAGTAATAGATTGACCAATTTAATATAAGTTTTTGTACTTATTAAATTAATTTAATGCATTAAGCTTATGTAAAATGTATGATTTGATATTAAATAATTTTGGCGGTGTAATTCCACATTATATTATTGCGCTATTATTTTAATGACTGTAAAGAATAAGAAGCGTATTTTTGCTGGTATAATAACGACCATAAAAATAATTGGAACATTGATCCTTAAAATATAAATTTTGTTTTAACGTAACTATTATCTCTAGCCTAACCTACAACTAGTACATGCGCTGTCATATATTTATATATATATATATCGTGGTTTTAAGATTATTAATATGGTACGGAAGTTGTGGGAGTTGCATATTTTACAATAATCTACTATCGATATATAGCAGTCCAAKCTAGAAAATATGCAATGTTCATTCTATACAATGACGATTATAAAAACCAATAATTTAAAATGCAAATGTATACAATTTTGTGCAAAAATCGCATATTTTATTCAATGTTTTCATTTAAGGAATTGACGTATACAACTTCACAAATATTGAAAATGTATTTTATTATCACTATTAATTGTCGTGTTTTGTTCTTATAGTCGTTAACATGGACGGGTGGATGGTTATTTTTTAATCTATTTTTTTATTTTTTTACCGCAGGACTGCAACAAAGACGGCGTGACGGATTGTGACGATTACGCGAGGATTCACTTCAACGGCAGGGAAGACTGTTCGGCCATCGACAACACCAACTTCTGGAGGCGATACGAAACGTGTCGGCCGAGCAGTAGCAGAGGTGAGGCGTCCTACGGATGCTCGGTGTTTCGTGCATTTCATATTTTATCCCTTCGCAGTTTTTTTTTTCCTATCGAACGGTGGCGGTCATCGGGCTACGTGCACAGTGGGTCGACGGTATGGGGTTACAGGTCGTCTCTATACGTGGGATATATACATATTATTACAATTTATAATCAAACCTATTTTTGGTCGTTTCGCCGACGAGAAATTTTAATGCGGATAAGTCAGAATACACACACGCGCATCATGTGTATCGACGTAAATATTACATATCGCGTACGCAGACGAGGATGAGGATGGAGGGAGGGAGGAGAGGAGAGAGCGTTTAAGTCGATATGACCACGATACAACACGTACGCGCGGTATACGGCTGCTACACCCTTCGCCCAAAACGGTTTGCGATTTTAGTACATATAATATTATATTATAATAAATTATTTTATGAATTTATTGCCACGATAATATAGTAACGTTTACTGAAAGAAATAGCTGATCCCCTCGGTCCGCAGATATCGTACGTGGTTTGAACCTRCACACGTACGCATCGTATGTAATATACTTAAGTACTAAGGTATATATGTATAATATGGCTGTAGGTGCGTATATTATATACATAGGTGTGGTRCTCGYATGTATGTCCGCCGCCGCAGGTCGCATATTATATAAAATTGGAAGCGATGTATATTATGTTTATACGGGTACGCGAATTATGCGTATATTGTTATTATAATAACGTTTTAACATTGATTATAAATACTAGTATTTATAATCAATGGTTCTAATATATATCGTAWATATTATATATATTATATTAATATGCATTCGCGTTAGCTCGTCCCGAGGACCGAATTATTTAGACTCGGCTCGATGTTAGCAATTTATTCAGCACCCCGGTTAATTTACCAGCGTCTATTCATATTTTACTTAATATGTTATGYCTACTTATAATATTATATGTATATATTATATATATTTATTGATATACATTTATATAATAATAGCAGCGTAGATATGAAGTGTGTATACGTACGATCACATGAACGTAACATAATATACAAATTTTGATATAGTATACGCGTACATATATCATCACAAAGGCTCAGAACCAAAAGTCGGCGGCGGCGTTGTATATAAAATTAATTTTTTTGGAGGAGCGACATTTGAATCTTTAAACTGTTAAATTATCAGGTGTGCATCTTTTTTTGTTTTTGAATGAATTAATGATATATTGTAACGATTATCAGATCCGAACAATATAACATTGCTGAAAAAGTTGTATGGGTCAAGTATTCTGCAATTTGGGGGTTGATGTTAAATAATAAAAAGATTTGTACTTGACCAAAAAATATAATGTAAAAATTTAAAACATGATTTAAGCTATGTGGAATGTGTTAATAATTCTATGCATATTATAGTATAATGCACCATAATGCGATATTAATAAATTATAAATAAGGTGTTTCACGAAGTTCTAACATATCGCCATATTATATCCACATGATGATATATACGTAACGTGACCATAATTTTTTTTTCTTCAAAGCGGGACACCTGTACATTTTAATAAGAAACCATATAATTTTGCGTAAAATAACAATTTATTTTATTGAAAAAAAAAACATTAATTGTTTATATTATGAAAAATTACAACAGAAAAACGCAAATAATATATTAATCAAAATAGTTTCGCAACAATATATGGMCTATGGGTTWTAGTGTTTTACAGTATATATAAAATATGTAGGTATACGCCATATATTTGTATAGGTACAGTATAAATGTATGATTGTGATATGTGATCAATAAATGCCTACCACATGTCGACTTTTCTTAAAACGGGACATTTTTAGGTTCTTTGTGGACACTGTGTGACACTTATCTCAAAAGCGGGACGTATGGTCCCGYTATATATACGTCAAAACTTCGTGAAATASCTTATATATAACATATGTGTGTGTACGTGTATTGCTATACTATTAAAGGACATTAGAAAAAAAATAGTCCATATATTTTGAAATATATAATATATAATAAGACGTATTAAGAGGACGCTACACCTCCACGCGTTGTCTCCATTTTACAGATGAACAATTTACCAAATTTTAGGTAAAAAATAATCCATTATTCTGTATTTAAAAAAAAATTTACTTAAATGTATAATTACATTTAAATATAATATTATTACTTGGGGCATCTCGGAGTATTTCATCGATGCTATTAGTTTTAAGTAACTCATGATCATTTTAAAATATATAGACCATTTATAGGTTCTAAAAGGTCATAATTATTGCTTTTTGATAAAAATATCAATAAAATCATCATCCAAGATGCCTTCGATCATTAATCAATGATCTTAACCTGTGGTCCGCGGCAGCCTTAACCTAACATAAGTTAATAATGGCTATATTATTATATAGAGTGTATTATTATTACCATATTTTTGGATTTCTAATAATTTTTTTTTTCATATAAAATATATCATATATTGTAAAAGATAAACCTATGTCCTATGACTTCCTATAATTTTTAATATAAAATAATTGTTATAATTTTTTGATAACATGAGATGTTTTGTAAAAAAAAAGGTATTCGGCAAAAAATTGGTAGGGGGTCCGCAATTTCTAAAAATCTTTCATCGGGGGTTCGTGTTCAACAAAAGGTTAAAAACCAATGCCTTAGATAATAATTGTACCTTTAAATTTAAAATTCATTCAAATTTTAGAATTTTTGGAACAAAAAAAAAAATTGACTAATTTATGTTGTAACTTTTCAGTTTGTAAGTCGTAKACAACCCATACGGATGTGATGTTCTTTTAATACGATCTATGGTAGAAAAAAATCGGATACGTATATATCATTCTGTTATATTTGACTGAAAAAATGTTCTTTATTACCTAGCTAACGAGCCACAGYGTATATAGACTAGTTGCGATTTCTTTGTGTTAATATTTAATTCAGATTACATAACTATGTTTGAAATATGTGTCCTGRAGAGAAGAATGGACGTAGGTATAGAAAAATCTAGTTGAGAACAAACAAGCTGGGCATTTTGGTTATTAGAGAACAGATCATCGAGACATCTATTTTTAAAATCATTGTTCTATTTAGATCACTATTAAAAATTACGGATTTTTAAATTGTGTGTTTACCTATAATTATATGTATAATCTTAAAGCTTCTCACGATAGTTCTTTAAATATTACGACGCCTAAGTGTTCATAAGTTCGAATCAAACAGCGTCGGTAACTAATCCCAATATTTCATAGTGYGTATAATATTATGRCATGACGAAAAAAAAATTGAATTATTCCCATTTGGTCCTATGGCCCTCGACATATGTATTATAAATGTAGGTACGTTGTATTTATTTGTAAATTTACGTTATACTTACAGCAAACGATATCCGCTTTGCACGGCAGCAAAATAAGTGCACAGGTAAAGCTTAAATCGTACGTTATACATACCACCACATTCRCCAACTGATATTAATGGCTCCTGTGCATGGTGTGTAGAATATTAAAATATTACCATAGTGTTAGTATACCATTTAGTAGTCCGATTATAGCCGCCAAGAAACGAGCTAGCAAGCTTTGATACTTTCAATCAATTTTTAACATTGTAGAAATAATTCTAGTGTAATAAGTAATAAACCAACTGATTTTATTCGTATAAATTTCTTAAATTAAATATAATTTTACTGTATGATTGTAGTTAGTTATAATTATATGGGAAAAAAAAAACGAAATTTCGATGAAAACAAAAGTTAGTAAATTGTTAGATATTTCCGTTTCACTCATAATACAATTATTATAGTGTCAGAAAAATTGAATAAAATCACTAATCTCACATCATCCACTCTGACAGTAGTTATGATTTTTGAATAGAAACACACATAATAGGTATATTATGACATAGGTAATGCAATACAAAATAATATATTTCACACTAAAATATAAAACACTAAGAGATTTATTTGAGTGAAAATGTTATTATAATATACATAAAATAGGTATAATATAATATTATTATAGGCTCTATTACAATAGTTTTACGTCTAATTAATTTTTTTATCTTATAAAATTGGTCGTTTGACTAACAAAGAAAACAAACATTATCAGACTTAATTCGTGAATGAATAAATACACCCTTAAATCTATAGTTTAGATACAATATCTGCTATATTATTATGCTACATACACATTAAACATATACAAATATAAATCACAGAAATAGGGTTTAAAAAAGTGGAAGCCTTAAGTATACAAACAAACTATAAAATATTACACATTAAATATAGTTTTATTTTCGTTAACACTATGAAGATAATAACAATAATAAAAATGACGAACGTTTAAATGTACCAGTGTTTAAGAATTCTATTATTTAATGGGTCAAATGAATTATTCTTAACATTCACGATATATACGTTTTATACCATGGTTTTAGGCGTTATAAATATTTGAATAAATAATTTAATTTACACTCAATGTTAATTTATGTTCTGTTTGTTTCAGGAAAGTTTAACTGATGTACCTGTCGAGAGACCAAACTACGCGAGCTCATTAATACTTACTACCTATTACGATGTTATTATTTAAATTAAAATTAAAATTAAAATGTACTGTATAATATTATATTGTTGCTATGAAAAAAACATGAAACTGGATGTTTTAATTTTTAAATTAACTATTCGTTAAATTTGTTTGATAATGATAATAATATATGAGCTCACCGTCGTCAGCCGTTGCGATTCTCGCATCGGAAAATAAACACGATGAAGTTTATTAAAAATCAAACACTTTAATAATATTATTTAGGTATGTACATGATGAAATATTTATAGTATAATAATTTGAGTCATCGGTTATAACCATCGGTTACAATCACCTCGTCAATCATAGTAAACACAGTGCACTCTACGTGGTCGTAACTATATAATAATATTACCTATCCGTAAAAAAAAAAAATAATAACATAAATCGTCTAGTGTACCGTGATCCAACTACGGTTTGTTATTTTTAAAGCGTAAAAATCGCCAGAATTTGAATTTACCGAGTATCCTCTGCAGACCGTTTTTCGATTGATTGTCCTGTCTCTGCCGGTCCGACGTTGTTTCCAGTTTGCTGCACCGTGAAAAAAATAAAAAATACACATGATCATAAACGAAAATAGAGTTTGAGATTTATTTTTTTAATGAAGGAGGGTTGAAGCATAACTATAATTATAAAGAATATCAAACTTAAAAAAAATTTGAGAAATGTTTGGGGGTGGTCTTTGCATAAATGTGTCTACATGTATAATAAAAGGACGGCAATAGTATATCTTTGGTTTACACGAGGACATTTAAAAAAAAAAATTAAATTGCATACTATTTGGAAACCGTTACCTAATTCACTTAATTGAAATAAAATACGAAAAATAAAAGTCATTTGAAAATGTTTGCAATTTTTTTCTTTATGGAACTAGAAAATGTATTTCAATAGCATTTGAACCTTTTTGGAAACTATAATATAATATTAATGTATAAGTATAATMGTTGTCGACCCCCGTAGTGCAGCACAAAGGCACCACTATTACCGCACGTGATGCATACAACGTTGTGTTTCGTGTTTTTAGTGATCTAAATTTAGTGTAGGTATTATTAATTATTATTCTGTTTGATATTGGTCACAGTCATGGTTTTACACGATGTTTGTCGATAAACACTGTAACCACATATAGATTTATTACACCAAATCGGTGAGTGCAAATTAACAGTGAACATAAAACAAAAAGTTAACCACACAGGATATAACGATATATTTTGTTTAAGAATAATATYAACCTATAATGTATCAAAATAATAAAGAATTATGATCATAATAATATGATTTATTTTTGTCAACTGGCGATTAATAGTCATATTATATTTCAAATACGTTCAGTATTGGAGAAGTAATAATTTTTGAGAGGAAAATCAACCGTGACCGTACATATAGGACATGGTCACAAAAAGGTTGTTGCCGATTTGTAACCAAAGTGGTCAGTTAGGCTCTCTATAAGATGTGTAGAGATTTTTTTTTTCGTTTAACCGATCATAAATTTAAATAAAAATATTCATCTTACTATATTCGAGTATATTCCACTAGGTATATAAACACATTTCTGGCACACATAAATCGAGTTAGAATTTTTCAACTTGACGGTAACCGCTGTAATAGTGGTATATCGATGACGCACGAACTATGTACCGATCCGGGAGTGTCGCTTCACACGATCGCAGAAGTCGTGGATTAGAGCATTAACGCACTGCAGATAGAGATCGTGATCGTGAGATCAAACCATAGAGTAATTATTATTATCATATTATACTCGGTAGATCAAACAGCGGCACGGCCACAGGATCACGTGCGCAGGCGTATATATACCTGCAGCACCCGTTAGACCGCTCGCGATCTATAATTATAAATTAATTATAATTATCCGCCCACGCACGTCATGACTATTATAGCGGAACAGGGTTCTCRAGGCAGTTCGGTTGGAATAACGGATTTTCGTGGAAATCGGATGAAATAAAATGTTGGCGAATTCGCGGCGAAGATGGCGATCGGACATTTGCCCGCGGGGACTTGGGTGTTAAAAACTCGGCCCCACATCGTCTCACGGACAAAACAACTACCTACCCAATTTATGCAAATATAGAATAATAATATTGTAGATACTTAAAGTTATTTCGCGGAACAAATTTATATTATATTTTCAATAATAAAATAACATTTACTGGGAAATAGTGTTGACAGACAGAAAACTTCAACTGCACAAGAAAATGATAAAAATGATAAGAAGTCTTGCAAAACGAATAAAAAATAAAAATAATTTTTTAGGCATAGGAGTTAGAAAAAGAGAGGATGATCATGATATCCCATAATATTATGATCTTTTCGGTGTTCTGACGTTTTCAAATATCTGTACAGACACAACCGCGATAGCGATTGGAAGTGAAATTAAAAATTTTATCCTACATAAGTATGACGTAACGGCCAAACCGTTTCAGCACCATTGTTACCATAATGGTAACCGATGACGACAATAGTTATGAAAACTATTTAACGTGAATTTTTTTAATTGCATTTTTGAATTGGATGTGGTAGATYCATCACAGTCGTAAATTGAAATTTTTGTGTTTTATTCACATTGCGTATAGTTTGTCAATGTGACTAGTATATCAACATAATAGTGGAGGGTATAATATGAGTTCGGAATTCATAGCGAAAGATGCTCTCGGATATTTCAAACGTGATATCGTTACAAACCAATTTCGAATGTGTAAACTAGTTTATGTGATTATTCTAAAAATGTAATTCCTCTATTACTATACGCTGTCCCTGTCTGGGATCAATGTGCACCTACCCACATAAATAAAATCCAAGTTTTACAATCCAAAGTCCTCCGTGTGATTTCAAATGCCTCTTGGTTTGTGCGAAACGATGCCCTGCACACCGACTTCAATTTACCAACTATTAAGAACTACATTAAGGACCTATCGGCAAGATTCTTCTATCATCTACGCA